TCTCTACAGTGCCAATCCAAACAAACCAGACGCCAACACCACAGTGACAACAACAGTGCCTGAGCTGGTCACAAGGCAGCGGTCAAAAACGCTGACAAATCTACACAACCCTGCAACACACACACGGCTCACAGCAGCGTCTCCCGGGACTCTGTCAGGAGATCAACAGATAGAGACAGAAATAGAGCGAGAGAAAGTTCCATTCCTTCAAATCAGAAAGCTAGTCAGTCATGAACGATGACCTCCCGCCCTCTCCTCTCCAAACCTCTCTTCCGGCCCCTCCAGGTCTCTCAGGACAGGACGTGCCGCATCTAGAGATCCTTTCCACAAAACGCCCAAATGCACAACACACTCCTGCCACCAATGTCATTTGAGAAAAACAGGTGCCTTTTCCATTTCCAAATTAACATTTTTCCATTTACATTAGACAAAGAACGTCTTTAATGACATTGTTTCATCTTAATGGGATTTTAAGGACTTAATGGATGTCTAAAAGGATGCCTTCAGTTCAAGGTCATGACACTTCAAGATGTTTATTAGAAAAACAATTTAATTCTGATATTTCTACAAATGTCTATTTTTCTTTTATCAACTGTTCACTATACAAAAAACATGGTAATAGGGTTTAAAGTTTGAGGTCTTCTGACAAATCTAACAAAAAATAAACCTATTGTAGTCCTTGACGAGGTAATGTAATGCAATGATGAAAAAATATGAAAAACATTTGAATATATAAATAAAATTTAAATATATAAAATATGAAGAATAGGACTTTAATAGTAATGTTCATTAAATATAAGATACAGATAATAAATATTACATTATATTTATATACATTTATTAACCATATCTTATAATGTTATTTTAATATACACTACCCTATAAATACATTATTCTTTATATAAAATTAATAGATTAAAAGTATCTATAAATAGATCACACACACCAACACCCACACACATAATACTGTGTTAATATTTTAACCAGTTGTATTACAAATAAAAATACATATTTTGAATAGTTTATTTAGAGGGTAAATGTATCTTCAAGTCATAAATGTAAGTCTTTTAACAATATATTGTCAACTGAAACCTAAAAAAACAACAAAACATT